TGACATATTGTCTGTCATCCTTATGGTGCTCATATGCAGACATATCTTCTCCATCATTTCTGTCAGCTCTCAGGCTGTGACTCCCAATAAAACGGCAGTCAATAAAAGTCTAAAACAAACTGGTGTTGGTGACTTTCCAAATGCACAGTTAAAGAGCTACATCTTCCCACAATCTGCATTGTAACAGCAAAACTAAGCTCTCGTGACCAATTTGATGTGCATTTCACCTGTGTCATTGCTTAAGGCATCAGTATCTCACCTGTGAAGAGGGCCGTTGTGTTTGGTCTGTCTTCTCTTAGACAGTGCTGGCTGGCTGTCAGTGCGCTGTGTTCCAGAGAATGATTGCACTTGGTTCTCGAACAGACTATGCTGCAGCACTCCATCAGCTACACCATCTGACACATGAACAGGTTTTCATCTGCTTGCTGTAAACTTTTTTTTTTTTTGAGGCATTTTATAACCCCCTTTGCTGCTCACACAGAACACTTTCCTTTCCTGCAAAAGACCATTTCAAGAATTATTTTTAGCAGCACCCCCAGACCCATCACCCAAAACAAATCATCAGAGAAAACCGTCATCCAAAAAAAAATCCACCTAGAATGATAGGTCTAAACACCTCTACACATTATTCACTTTGCATACATCAACCAACTCGTGTCTTTTTTATTTGTGACCTTTATTAACAACATACTGCGTTACAGGTAAAAGAATGGAAGAACAAACGAATATGGGCCTCTACTGTTCCAGCAATGACAGCACTCCCATCAGGTGGGTGTAATGATGCAATACATCATCAAAACGCAAAGAGAAAAATATAAGCAGCCACAACATCTACCTAAAAAAGTGCAAAGTTATAGAATAGCAACAAACAAATGGTCTACATCAATATGGTTTTCAAAGCTACAATTACTTCTGATGTAGTCAGCATGTTCATTGCAAGGGGTTAAAGAGTTTCACCAAAAATCATGATATTGTAGACATGCCAAAAAAAGAATATTTACATTCAAAAAGTGGGTTCCGAAATGGGGTTTTCACAGTAATGCTATAGAACCATTTTTGGTTCCCCAAAAAACCTTTCAGTGAACAGTTCTAAATATTCACTTTTTTGAGACCAGTGACATGTCATTGTGACTAAGAGCCATTTTATTCTTTTTTTTTTTTTTTTCAAAAAATACATGCTCTAAGTGATAGGACCTTTCTTTTAATGTTTCCAGCAAGAGCGTACTGGAAAATTTTAAAAACAATTAGCACAGAAACATCATGTGGCATGTGGTATTTTCACTGACCATCTATTAATGAAGGACCTCCGCAAATATATATTGGAAACAACATTTGTTCTTATTTTCATAAAACATGCATACCCAGCATACGTAAGGAAACTCGAAACAAGGACCACTTCAAGAGCTGAAAGGCGGCTTTGAAGAGAATGACTTTATGGTTACTAAAAAAAGAAATTAAGATACGGCTTTTAAATCCTCTGTTTGACATTAAAATCATTTAAAAGCTCTCGAATCTCAACTGCCTGTCAAAATTTGTCATGATTTTCTTATTTTTGTCAAAGCATTTACAGCTTTGGTTTATGGTGCCATTAAGACACTAGTCTGAATGACTCTCAGTAATGGCAGCCAGTGATGTCTGCGTAGGCAGCAACGTTCTACACAACCATAAGTGAATGTGCAATTCATCCAGGCACTCTAATATAATGTGATCTAATCAGCTTGATGTCTTTAATAAGCATTCAGCAAACTGAGTTTATTCAAACTTTTTTAAAGGAATCGTTCACCCCAAATACTTCGTCATTATTCCCTCACCCTCATGTCGTTTCAAACCTGAATGACGACAATTTCTATGTTTTACAGAACAGCATGACTAATTGATTACAGAATTTATTTTTTGGTGTAAACTATCATTTTAAGTTATCACTGCAACACTACAAGCATTCACAATGGATACTTCACAGTATATGAGGGTGTGCTGCTCTACCTCATTACACTTCAGGAGCCTCATGATTTTAGTATTCAAGAGCTTAGTATTAATTATCATCTCATTAAGCCTGATATTTTGATAATTTGAAAGTCCAAAAAACTTTTGACCTGTTAAATGATGTATGCATGCCACAGAACAAAACCTAACAGCAGCTGTGGGCAGTTAAGATTTATTTTGTGTTTTGTGTTATGCAATGAAAAAAAACTATATTCTAACTCTCATAGTATGGCAATGAAAATTTTGGGAGTGTGATCCCGGTGTAACGATAAGTAACATTTAAAAACTGTTCCCTCCCAATGCAAGTCTCCTCTTTTTTTTTTTTTTTATTAAAACCTGAAGTTGTGGGTTCTAACCTGAAGAGACACAACATGCACAAAACAGTGTGGATTGACAGAATATGAGGTTTATCTACTGTGGTGCTTACATAAACTTATAATATGAGCAAAACAGCCATCAGTGGTTAATGGTTGAAAAGGGAAGGGTAATTTGCAGTTAAAAACACACGTAGCGCATAGGTACTGAAACCTTTTTTCCACGGGTCAAAACTGTGCACATTAAATAAGAAAATAGAAAGATTATGAATATGCAAGACTATGCAGCTAAACGACAGACAGATAGACAGACAGACAGACAGATAGACAGATAGATGAAAATAAATGCCTACATAGAGCCTTGAATGTCCAAATGTAGCAAAGCATAGTAGTAGGATAGTTAAATGTCCAGATGCTTTCACTGTTGTATAGTGAAATCCCCTCAATCATGATTGTGTCAAATGGATTTTAATATTAGCTTCATTAAATATCCTATGGCTCTGCAATCAAAGAGCTGAAGCCATGGAAATGCAGAGATGCAGCAGGACAAATTCATAGTAATGCTGGAAGTACTGGAGAACAGCCTTCAAAAAGCGGCAGCAGGGGAATTAACCTTGCTACCCTCAAAGACAGGCAAGAGGCATGAAAGTATCTTCAAGGATTTCCTGATTTTCATCTTCAGGCGGATCTACTCCTTTTGTCTCCTCAGGCTCATGTCCCCCTAGTCCTATTTGATCTGACTCTGATGAAAGGCTTCAGAGTATATTTACCGTGCATCTATATATAGTGTGTATAGACAACTGGGTAGAGGAGATTTCCATCCTGTCCGCTCTTGCTGTGGATCCCGCTGGCTCTCTCTAACATAAAGAGGACCGTGTTTGGACTGCAAACCCCACAGAGAGTTCAGTTAAGTTTTCAGTTAACCCTGTATCTCATTTTTTTAAAAAAGTGAAGGACTTCTTCACTCACATTATGTGTGTCTAAGAGTGTTAAATGTTTGCGATTACATTTTGCTCTTTTAGTCCCAGTGCTCTTGGGCTTTATCCTGACACCTAACTCGATATGTGGGCGATATGACCAAAATCTTATTTCATGACAACAATACATATCACAACATAGTTATTTTTGTTATTAAATATAAGAAAATTACAAAAAAAAATATGACAAATACAACAGAACAAAAATACAAATTTACTAAATTAAGTTTTTCAGGTAGAATAGGTTAAACAGCAATAAATACTACAGAAATAATAAGATGTAAAAATAAAACTCTGCATAGTCTTCACTGTAATAATTAAACTCATTCTTATCAAAAATAGAAACAAGTTATTTAGTCAAGAGTAGTGAGTGAATGTTTTTTTGATATTGATTAACATTAATGACAAGACAGCAGCAGGTTTTTATGCTGCTGTCACTTTAAAGAGATGAAAATCACCCAAAAATGTAAATTCTGCCATCATTTACTCACCTTCAAGTTGTTCCAAACCATTAAGAATCTCTTTTGTTGCCACTTTATATTAAGTAGCCTTAACTACTATGTACTCACATAAAAAATAAGTACAATGTATTTATTGTGTTCATATTGTATTGTAAAACACTTTTGCTGCTATTGAGGTGGGATATGGGTAAGGTTAAGGACAGGTTTGGTGGTATGGGTAGGTTTAAAGGGTTAGTTCACCCAAAAATGAAAGAAATGTCATTAATTACTCACCCTCATGTCGTTCCAAACCCGTAAGACCTTCGTTCATCTTCAAAACACAAATTAAGATATTTTTGATGGAATTAAGGTGTAAGGGATGGGTCAAATTAATTACAGATGTAATTACATGCAGGTATTTTTTTTAATATAAGTACAATGTAAAACATATGTACACAATAAGTGCATTGTATCAAGTGATTAATTTAAATTTAAGTACATAGTAGTTAAAGTCACCTAATATAAAGTGGGATTTTTCTTTCTTCTGCTGAACACAAAAGAAGATATTCTGAAGAATGTGGGTCACCAAACAGCTGATAGTCCCCATTGACTTCCACAGTACAGGGACAAAATAAACTATGGAAGTCAATGGGTACCATAAACTGTTCAGTCACCCACATTCTTCAAAATGTCTTCTTTTGTGTTGTGTTATGGTTTGATTTCATATGGAGTACGAGGCATATGAAAAAAAAGAAAAAAAAAGACTTTAATCAACAATTCGTCTCCTCCGTGTCACCCTAGCGCCATTTTGGAGAGTATCCACTGAACGCAAACAGCGTATGTTGTTCTGTGTTCTTTCTTCTGCTGAACACAAAAGAAGATATTCTGAAGAATGTGGGTCACCAAACAGCTGATAGTCCCCATTGACTTCCACAGTACAGGGACAAAATAAACTATGGAAGTCAATGGGTACCATAAACTGTTCAGTCACCCACATTCTTCAAAATGTCTTCTTTTGTGTTGTGTTATGGTTTGATTTCATATGGAGTACGAGGCATATGCAGACTTGTGCACAGTGCTTACTCATTCTTCCCCAAGCGTCTATTTTCGAAGGCTCACAGAAGCTTTTTGAGGCTTCAGGTCACACAACACATCTGAGGGTCGGGCTCCGTTACAGCCTTGATTGTACAATCGTTCGGGCCAGTCAGAACCGGCAGGAATGCAAATGAAGCTTCTTAGTTTCCAAGCCACACACCAACCCCTTACTAAGGTCAGACTCGAGAGACTCACTTGTACGTGATGCCCGCCAAGTTAAGAAGCCGTCTGGAGGCAGTCATTTCTGGAGTGTCATGGTATTTGTCTGACAAATAGATCACATCTTTTATACCTGTAAGGCAAAAACAGCAGAAGGATAGTGTGGGTCAGACAAAAGCACACTTGTGCGCGCACACACACACACACAAACAAACAGAGAAATTTAAACAAACAAGCCCAAGGGGAACAGGGACCCAAAATAGCCTGTTAGGAAAGAACAAGAGCTTGTGCTCGGGGAGAAGGAAGGGAAGTCGATAACTTGTCGCTGCAGGCTCAAGCCAATATCAACCAATCCCAATTGAGACAAAATCTGCCCTGCTGGCATCTTTAAAACACGTGGTGCATTTGGCAGCACCCCCACGCATCCTGCTGACTACTCACAAGCGGCCCACATGAGGCGGCTCTATAAAGGGCCCCGTTATAGCCAAGCTTTACAGAGAAATGTGAGGAATCTGGTGAAACCACTTAGACTCCCTCTTGCCCTTAACGCTTTCAGAGGTGAAAAGAGAAGTCCAACATTGCCAACGGTTGCTGCAATCACCGATGAATATACCGGAGAGAAAACACCCACCCCCCAAAATACACAGCATCTCCATCATGTACTTTTATCTGCACCGGAGGAGAGAAGTGCTCTGATCGAAGGCAAAATGACTTGCACAGAGTGAATTCCACTTGTCATTAAAGGCTGTCATTACAAGCATGGGGCCTCTCCACGGTATTACTTGAACAATTTTTGAGAGGGAACAGATGAAATTACCATGGAATAGCCTGGCTATGACATCTTAAAACCATTTTGGTGGTGACATTTTATGGTGCAGGAGACTTTGTATATCCAAGTCTCAACTGGCTATTTAAAATAAAAGGCAAACACTCAATCGTGTCCATAAAAAAAAAAAAAGTTCAAAATGTTCTAACTAAAGTCTGACGTGATACATAAAGAAAAAGTCAGAAGAAATAGCAGTAGTGTTTCCATGTAAACATGTCTTTTCATGAAAAGAACATGAGAATAAGCATCAGAGCTGCTCAAAAACACTTCCAAGACGACAAGCTGTCCAACAGAAGGGAAGGCTCTGATGGAAGGTGGAGCAGAACTCTGGAGATGCTACGTTTCCAGAAAGCTCTCTGGAGATGAGGTGACACAGTACAGTCCCTCAGTCCCTCCAAAAACAGTCACAGGAAGTGACAAGATGGCAGCTGCTTGGGAACTGAACACTTTAATTCCTCAGAGAGAGGAGAGGCTCTAAAGCAGTGCTTCAGAAACTGAAGTCTCCGGCTCCTTGTGCAGGGGGGACATCAACATGGGAGCCAGAGAAAGTGAAAATGATTTGGTGTCATTTCATTCTGCGAGATTGAGGGATGGACACATTTGAACGGCATTCGAAAAGAGCAGTAACACTTTCTCACTAGAGGAATAGCTACAGAATTAGATACGGGGGGGGCCTAATATCTGGGGTCTTCACTTTCTTGATGCCCCCATCTCATTTACTGTGAAAGAATTAGACGAAGAAAAAAGAAATGGAGAAAGTACAGTGGAAGAGCTCTCATTTTAGTACAAGAACAGTTGTCAAATGACCAACACAGCACACATTTAAGCAGGAATAGGATTAAGGCAAATGAAAGCAGTGTCGCTGGCACAAAAATGCATACCGATGGCACCAAAATACTGGAAAAACCTTCATTTTAATAAATCCCTCTGGTTATAATTAAATGATGTTACAGTTTTTCCATTAGAGAAGCACAGGCTGGCAATATCAAAAGGTTTACCATGCACAAATAAACAAGATATAGCCTGGTTGCCTTTATAAGAGAATCAGGGTGGATTCGCATTCAAGTCTACTAATATTCCCCTTTATCCTCATGTTTTTTCCATGCAGAGGCTTTTCTGTTTCCTCATATCATGGGGCTTTATAACTTTTAGTAAACAAACATGGTCATAACACCTTCAAAATGAACAAACAGCGACGACACCCCTGACTCAATTCTTTTAAACTCAGCATTCAAACATTAAACATCCGCTTTGTTCAGCTCCATCTGATTGGCATCATCAGAGGGCGTTTTTAATGAGGTTGGACGTTCATTTTTAGCCGCGTTTTACTGCATCCAATAGAGCGCGAGGAGACGAAAGGGAAAGAAAGTGCTGTGTGTGTTCCTTAATGATGCCGGAACATTGAGAGGAAGCTGACACCCCACTGAGAGATGGGCCAGGGCAAGGCCAAGCATCCTGAAGATCAGATGGCATCAGAGCGTGTGTCGTGCTATCTTCAGCACACAGCTTCAGTAGGCTTTGCCACAAGAGTACATGGAGGGGGATCAGGAAAAGCAAACCAAAGAGAGAGAGAGAGAAGATGAGGACAAAAAGACTTGGAGGGGAGGAGAGAGACTGGGGATGGGGGGTGTTAAGAGAGTTCAACATAAGAAGAGATTGAAAATAACAGCAGAGCAGGGTTTGGAGAAGGAAAAATAAGAGGAAGACAACCTGTCACCATGTAGGCTGTATCTAACCAGCCAAGAAGGCTCACAAAGAAGACGGCTGCTCAAAGTGACGCCCACTGCAGGTTTCTCAGTATGGAAAAATGACCATCGAGAACCTCCGTTTCCTCCTGTCTCATCCGTCATTTCATCTGCAGCCACATCAGCACTGGCACAAAGGCTCAGATATCTGAGCAGAAACGCTGATCCTGATGTGTGTGAAGTGCAGAGACGGAAAACGCATAATGCTTGCTATGCAATCTAATAGAGGTTGAAAGGGTTGCCAAAAAAAAAACGTTTGACACTCAGGTCTGTACTACGTTTCATTCTGTGCCTTTCTCAGAAAATATTAAACGTGTTTGAAAAGGAAAGTGATAGCTTTTAAGCATAATTACATTAATTCTTGGTGTCACTAAATCGTTGTACTGTTAGCAAGAAGACAAAGAAGCTAAAAAGATGTAACAATGAACGCAGAGACGGAAAACGCATAATGCTTGCTATGCAATCTAATAGAGGTGAAAGGGTTGCCAAAAAAAAACGTTTGACACTCAGGTCTGTACTACGTTTCATTCTGTGCCTTTCTCGGAAAATATTAAACGTGTTTGAAAAGGAAAGTGATAGCTTTTAAGCATAATTACATTAATTCTTGGTGTCACTAAATCGTTGTACTGTTAGCAAGAAGACAAAGAAGCTAAAAAGATGTAACAATGAACGAAAAACTAATTATTTAATATATCTCTGACTATACTTGAGGCATATAAATAGCAGGCAACAGTCGGACTGCGTGAACAATCAATAGGAACAGTTTGAGAGCACATGTACATTCTTAGTCACACATGCGAGACAAAGCCAGTTAAAAGTTCAGAGATTGCATTTCATTAAATTAAAGAAAAGCTTAAAGAGGTAAACAAATCTTTTATTCAATTACTTCTCACTGGAGCAGTGTTGGTGCTAGTATTGAAATTTCTTTGCTTTAAATGCGTCTCTGGTGTTCACTGCTATTGCGTCAAAGCATTTTAACAGTGAAAACAGGACTGTTGATATGTTCCCGATAGCGTACATTTAACAGCATTGTGCATTTTACGGTGACCACTAACAAAAAAAACATGAAACTAGTAATGGCAAAAGTACATCTGCACCAAGTCGACAATATAATCTGTAATAGCTGTAGCTGTAATACAAACTTGTTTCCATGACAGATTTATTCAAACACTTTAAATAATGAAAACAATAGAATATTTAATATAGCACATATATTTGGCAAAATTCCCCTCCCTAGCCAAGTATATAGACACTGAATGGTTTTCCTGAGGTAAATGTAATGTTATGTGACATTGTATACAAGCTGTTTTAATGATGTCTTTCCGCAGTTGAAACACTGATTGTTCACATACATGAGCCGTGATACATTTCAGTAAGTTGCACTGTTTCTTTCTTCATACCTTCTGATATTATTTCATGTTTATTTTGTGCTATATAACTAGTAGTAACTAGGAAGAGATAATTGGTTCACTTGACGCTTGCACCGAGGCAGATAATTCACAACACATTAGACAGCATCAAAACCATGTTTATTGTTTGCATTTAATGATAAAATTTACAGAATTTGAAAGCTGAGACTGTTTTATATTAAAAGTAGCAAAGCAAAAAGCTTTTTGCGATTATTGGATGGAAGATCCGCGTCAAATAATGTTTATTGAAATTCACGCATAAACAGACATGGGCACAGTAAAAACGTGACATTGGAGAAACGCTAATTAAAGGTCACTGTTTTGGTCAATGATTATGGCCCTCCAAAACTATTTCATCCAAATAATAAATTGCAGAAATTTTGGTGCATCACCAATTAATTTTATTCATGCACTAATGCCTGCTTACAAAATGAATGTCAACAGTGAAAATAAAAGTGTTGATTGATAAACCAACATGAACATCATGAAAGACACACACACACAGTCAGAAACAAGTTCAGACACACTCTCACCTGCTTGAATAATGAGTTTGGTGCACTCGTTGCAGGGGAATAGCGCTACATACATGGTGCAACCCTTGACATCTGCAGAGTTCTTATTCATAATGGCGTTCAGCTCTGCGTGACACACTGCAACAAAACATGAAAGACCTGTTAGAAATGTTCAGAGTTCACGAACACACATACGTGCAGCACAGAATGATGCATCAAAGCTATGATTAATATCTTTGATTCACAACAAACTTGGATTGAGCTTTCTTGGCTTGTCAACATTGTACCACTTCACCACAAAAAGGCTCCAGTCACCAGTTCACTGTTAAAAAGGAAAAAGATTTCAAAGCATGAGTCTGAACAGATGTCAGCTCTCCACAACATCACCCAGAAAAAGCCCTGTCTAATCACTCACTCTGCTCGCCTTAATTACGGAGAATGAATTGGCCCATCAGCGGTGGCACATTACCATTGCACTACGAAACACCAGCCTGACACGTTTATTTTGGCAGAGCTTCAGCACAAAGCAGAGAAAGAGAGAGAGGGCATGTAGTTATGATGGAAGAGAGATGTCAATAATTCACACAGATACACACACTCATTGTGTGTTTTAACTGGAAGCAGGCACACACACACAGTTGAGAGCGAGTGCACGATGATGATGATGATGATGATGGAGTACGATCAACCGTGTGATCATGGGAGGGACTGAGCTCTTAAATCAATTCTAACATGTATTGCATGTATATTAATCTGACTGGAATGTCAAATATTTAAAGGTAGTGAAACATTTTCAGGATAAACAATCAGCGGGTAAATATCGCAGACGATTATGTTTAATAAATCAAGAGAAGCAGAAGCCATGATCACGATTAAAATACAATTAATCTTACAGCCCTATCTGAATAGAACCAACACCGAACTTACTTAAGCTAAATAAAAACGCTATTGTCTTTCAGAGCTGCTGTACAACAGAATCAGCCCAATTTCCATAACTGATTCTGATATTTCCTGTTTATCAATGTGAAGCTGCTTTGACACAATCTGCATTGTATAAAGCACTATGGAAATAAAGGTGACTTGTTGTTAATGCAGCTGCAGCAAAAAAAGCACAATATTAACCAACATCATTCTGTCTTGTTGCAGCATATAAACCTCGTCTCATATTAGAGAATAAGGCTAAAGCAGCATTGTGTTCACAGGGCAAAAATCAAGTTGGCCAGTAAATGTGATACTTAGTATTTCAGCAGCCTCTAGTGGCACAGTACTGTACAGAACCTTCATAAAGCTAGAATCACTGCAGCTATTGCCCATACATGGATACTTGGGCTTAAAGGTTTTCTCAAATCTGCAAAAATGTTAAGCAGTTGTCATCCATTCCTATAAATACTGTGAGTGCCATTTAAGTTGGCCTCCCAAAAACAAAAATGTACATTTCATTGATTTACATTTAAAATTATGCATGTAGATAATTTTGAATCAGTTCTGCCATTAACAATGTTTCATGGTTCAGTACAAAGTCTTGTACTTTTTTCCACAATTTTAATAATGAAATGGCAATTCTTAGTCAATCAATCCTTATAATCTCAATTATTTCGTAGACAATTAATCATCAGCCAAATTTCACAATTGCAACAGCCCTAGTTGTAATACTGTGACACTGTTTCACTCCACTTGGGCTTTTTTTTTTACATAACCAGCAAGACTGTAAACAATTACCTACTGTAGAACACCCTTGCGACTACATAGCAACATGCTACATTGGGGGGGGGGTCAAAAACTCAATCTGAATACCTAGTAAAAAAAATTAGTTCTTACCTATTTATGAACCAAATACATTCTATTTAAACAACTAGTTCAAATGTCCTCATAGCTGAACTTTTTGCTAATACTCACTAATACATACTTTTAAATCATAATATAAAAAAAGCCCAGTGGCGCTTATTTTTCGTCTATTACCTCGCTCTTGTAAACGTTGTAATATAATAATCAAATTAACATACTGATTACAAAAGAGAGAATCCAAACTATGATCCTACCGACTATAAACGGTTTACCTTTATTGTGCCACATTGGTGCATTAAGAGAGACAAGAGATAAGCCAAATGAATCCTTTGAATAGAATTAATGTACCGTCACTCTGCATGAAATTGAACTCTATGCCTGAGCGAGCCACAAATACAAATAAGATTTTATTTTTTTAGGATTTTTATATTCATAAATCATATCAGGTATGTGTGATTTTAAACTAAATACTTTCCACAAAATGCATTCATTAGTGCCAAATATATGGGTAATAATACCAAAGCTTTATAGGAACTTTCCCTTGCTAGTCATCACTACCTATTCTAAAAGAGAACACAAACATGCAGCTATCAAGAGGAAAAAAGCACTACCATTCAAACGTTTGGACACACTGAAGACACTTTCACATTTTAAAATAAATTTAAATATAAAACAGTTAGCTTATTTTAAGTTCTAATAATATTTCATAATATAGGCCTAATTATTTCTGTTCTGTTTCCTGTATTTTTGATCAAATAAAAGCAGGTGAGGCTGCTGAGCATAACTTCTTTCAAAAACTTTTTTAATCTTACCGACCACAAACGTTTGAATGGTAGTGTAGTGTACAGTACATCTGGAGTACACAATCACATATGCACACATCATTTCAGATAAGCCCTCACATTTAAAGACATGCCAACTCTTAAACAATTAGATTTTACAAACAGTATACAGATACTGTATGGTTCACAATCATTAAACTTCTGAAAACGGTTTAGTACAATACAAACATATCGCCCATCGACAGTATTCTTGTAGGAATTTGGCTTCTTTTCAAGCATACCAGACATCAGAAAAGTTCTATATAACGATCAGATGAAAACACATAAACACAAAACTTTCAAAAACTGAACGATGTCTGCTGAACCAAGCCAAAACTAATTTTCTGCATTCAATTTAAATTTTGGGTCACTTTGTGGGGTCCAACTCAGTTGGCTTTGTTTAAAAAAAAAATCTTCCTAAGCCTGACAACTGACAACAGAAACCAGGGAGAAATACAAGTCACGAACAGTTCAGATGATCATCCAAGTGCCAGACTGATAAATCCTCTCCAAGGTTTCACACCTTCCCTTTGGCAGTACGACCCATTCAAAGTCCCGAGTTGGCATGTGCCGCCTTTAGGAACGCCAGCTCTAGCTCATGGTTTCCTGAGACGATAGATCACTGTCAACAAAGTTCAGTCAGCGTGAGTGAGCGGGGAGAAGGCTGACAGCACCCGCATTCTCGGTTCACCAAAACTCTTGTGTCTTAGATATGCAATCCTGCTCTGTGCCTTTAGGAGCAATAACGGCTGCATGCATGAGCTGACCGAGGATCATGCTTGACTGAACCTCAATATTGCACTTAAATATCGGGAGTGTTCATATTGGCCAGGAGGTCACCGCACAGCAGGGGAGCTCTGAAACCAGAATACGTTCTTACGGTACATGGAGCGGATAAGAGGCCTGTGTCCTTTGATCAAAAGAAGCTGTAGGGTGTTTGGAGATCTTTAAGGTACTATAAGCTGTTTAGAGCTTCTCCAAGCTAATATTAATTGGAACAAAATGGTTTTAACAGAAAGAAACTAAGATCAAGGTATTGCAAAAATTACAAAAGATGTCTATATTGATTGTAATTTCAGCATATTTCAGATTGATGTATGGTCACCAAATCAACCCACATTTCAATCTAGCAGGACTGCAGGCAATCAATCTCTAGGTACCTGAGAACTGGGGTCCTTGCTCCGCTGCGCTGATAAGAAGGCAACAGCCATGAAATACTCAGGCCACTCCAGGTAGTCCTGCCTCTTCTTTGTCAAACCTTCACTGTGTGTTCTGAAGGATTGAAAGAATGAATGCAATAAGGAAAAAAATCTAAACACCTGTTGTCATCAAAGCACACAAATACAGAAAAAAACATCCCTAATACAACATTTAGGGAAAGATAGTACAGTATATGATCATATGTGTGAACAAATGATTTTTACCAGTATTTTAAGTACATGATAAAAATAAGGACAGAAGTAATATATTGTTTTTTTATAGCATACATATTAAGCTTAATGAACAATGTTTAAATCATAATTAACATGTGCGTGCCAAGCACCACAACAGACTGATACTGACATGCTGGCAAGGCCGAAAAATCTGCCAATATTTGCCAATATTTCAAGATTACCAGCACTGGCCGATATCCGTGCCCACTTGGACGATAAATAGTGTTAGCATTCCCTTATGCCATCTCAAAAATCAACCAGGATACTAATTAAATGAATCGAAAAATTATTAAAATATTTGAAAACAGAAATTAGTGTAAAAATGTTCAGCATATGTCTCTCAATTACTACACTTACATTTTATCTTATTTCGTACACTACAGTTCAAAAGTTTGGGGACTTTTTTAATGTTCAGAAAAAGATTAAAAACTACTATTGTGCAATATTATTAGAATTCAAAATAGTGTGCTGTGTTCTGTGACAGCAAAGCTGAATTTTCAGCATCATTACTAAAGTCTTCAGTGTCACATGATCCTTCGGAAATCATACTAATATGCTGATTTGCTGCTCAAGCAACATTTCTTATTATTATCAATGTTAAAAACAATTGTACTGTTTAACATTTCGGTGGAAACCACAATCATTTTTGGTGACTGATGAAAAGAAAGTTCAAAAGAACTAGGCTGTACTGGAGTGGGCTTTGATTTGACTGTCAAATTTTTGTTTGTCTTTACTCATACTTTTGGTCAGTGTATAATTGCTGAATGCTTATTTGTTTTTTGTCAGAAAAATAAAACATTTTGAAATGTAATATATATGCACTAAATTGGCCATCAGTCACTGACCCTGCTCTCTAGTTATTCATATCTGAAAAATCCACTAGCCAAGTGTGACTAAGAGCTTGCTGGCAATATGAAAGTTTCCTGTTGTCTCAGTGGAGTACTAGATCTTTACTTGTGCTGATCTTAACACTGGCATCCCTGACGCCCCACTGAAGACTGTCTACATGTGTGATTTGAGCACTGACAGACATTATCATCAGAGGGTTCTCCTCAGGGGCTTTCCATTTTAGCTTAAAGTGATATTACACCTTTTGCGACACATCTCAGTGACTGTCTTTGTAAGGCATGGGGATTTATGTGTGAACATTTAATGGACCCATCTGATTTGACTCACTCTTTTTCCTAATGTCTCTGGTGATTCTGTCTTTTTTGAGCTACTGTCAGAGCAGGTGTGTGTGAGTGTGTGTGTGAGTGTGTGTGTGTGTGTGTGTGTGTGTGTGTGTGTGTGTGTGTGATAGTCT